GACACTTTCCAAATGCTATGCCACATTATAAATAAACAATTCAATAACAATCAACGCATATGTACTTGGTCTAAAGTCAATCACAAACATAAGTTAAAATTAACAATTCAATAACAATCAACGTATATGTACTTGGTCTAAAGTCAATCACAAACATAAGTTAAAATTAACAATTCAATAACAATCAACGTATATGTACTTGGCCATCTAATTTATAACATAATCATTTCTAATCTATAATACAATAATTTCTACCCACTAACAAAATAGTAATAAATTCTAATTCATAAGACAATCAATTCTAATATATAATACAATAATTCCTAACTTCTAACATGATAGTAATAAATTCTAATTTATAAGATAATCAATTCCAATATATAACATAATAATTTAAAGTAATATAATTTTTTCAAACTAGTATCATTTCTAATTTATAATAATATAATTTATACTAATTAAGTAATTATATTAATAAAGTAATTATACTAATATCATTTTTTAACTGTATTTGTTGTTAGTTCATTTTTTTCTATTATAATTAATTATATCTTATACTATTATAATTTATAATAATTAAACTAATTAATAATATAATTTTTTATATACTAATATAATTTATACTAATTATACTTTTTTACATTATAATTAATTATATTTTATACTATCATAATTTATAATAATTATATTAATATAATATATATTATATAATATATTAACTTTATTAATATATATTTATATAAAATATATATTAATATTATTAAATTATACATATTCATATATATGAATGTATAATAATATATATGAAAATATTAATATATATAATTTAATATATATTAATTTAAATTATTAATATATTTTAATTATTAATCAAACTTAATTATTAATTTTTTTCATTTATTATAAAATATATAATAATATATATGAAATTATTTAAATATATTTTTTATATTTCAACATTTTTTAATTAACAAAAATTAAAAACCACGAAAATTTAAAAAAAATACAAATTAATTTATATGTACAAATAGTTAGAAATGCAATTAGAATTTGTTATTATTTTGTTAGAGGTTAGAAATTATTGTATTATAGATTAGAATTGATTATGTTATAAATTAGAATTTATTACTATTATGTTAGAAGTTAGAAATTATTATGGTATATTTTAGAATATATTACAATTTTCATGTTCATTTAGTTAAATTTAATAATTTATCAGTTTAAAATAACAATAAATTTAATTAATGATAATGATTCATCTTGACATACATAGTGAAAGTGTGTTAAAACATGGATCATTTAGTCCCACTGAAAGCAAAAAAGAATGCAAAAAGTAGCTATAAAGGTTTGAGACAATCCCACATCGATTACAAACACAATAATAAAGGCCAGAAGTGGCTATAAAAGGTTGGGAGAGTGAAAACTTTGATTTGCAATTATCTCGCATTGAATGAGAAAGTTCAATGTAAGGCAATGAATAACTATATATGTTGTAGCAACTTGCCTTAATAACTATTAATCGGTTTGTCTAATAATTAATAATAGTAAATAATTATATATTTTTTTAAATATTTAATTTAAAAAAAATGGGCAGCGACTGGCCGGTTAAAAAAAAAAAAAATTAAAATGTTTGCTCCAGTCCGGCCGGTTTGACCGGCCGACCGCTCCATGATCGGTCTTGTTGGATAGCATTTTATCGCCGGAATTATTTGGAGGTGTTTTCGGAATTTTTCGGTGCTCGGTTCGGCCGATAAATAGGTTAGAAGGTGAGACATTATTTTTCTTAAAAAATAAGAATAAAGGGCAAAACTATCATTTTAGGGTGCGGTATTAGTAAAATGGGTGCGGTATTTAACAATTAATTTTTTTTTTCAAGTAAATCAATCATTTTTAATTAATTATATTTTTAACTCAAATCTAACTCAACTTTAATTCACTCCACTATTTTCAATATTATCAATATAATTAAATAATATCACCTTATCATTCTTACGCATTACAACAACTTTAATTCATTATTCATCAATTCATCTAATTTAAACTAACTTTAATTACATCAAATTAACTAAATATAAACTCAAGATTCTAACTAACAACTAAACATACTATTATTTTTAAAATTAATCGTACCAAACCAAGTAATTCATACAAAATCAAAATATTTTATATCCAAACGTTCCTGGTAGCCTTTTGACCAAATTAAACTACTAAAATCTATGTTTGGTTAGATATTTTTTG